GCCTGGCGATCGATATTGCTATGCGCACATCTCGCCACGCGCTCGAATTGGGCGGTAGGCCGGCCTAAGACAACCATTTTTAATAATTAATTACTCGTTAACTATTACGAAAATTGTAAAATGGTACAGGACTTTTCTATTCATCTCGATCCGTTCTACCTTCTCAAAAATTTTGTCGGATATGGAAAGACTCACCCTGTATATGTATTTTTTTATTATTCTGACAGAGAACGGTTCGGCGTGGTAAGCGTTAACTTCACGGATCCGAATCGAACAAGAACTCCAAAATGGTCCATGAACTGGTATAAAAATGTTATTGCGACTGGAAAACTTTCTCTTGACGCTCATCAAATCACAGCAAATATTGTTTGAATCATACGTATGTTTGAACATATTTAATTTTATGTTGAATGATATATATATAAAATATTTTTTCAATGAATATTCCGCTCTTTGTCTGAAACAAGGGGAAACCGCTGAGGACATTGTGGTGCACCTACAGAGTTCGGGTATTATTAGGCATTTTGTGGGCATTAGTAGGCGTTAGTTAGCCGTGCTGAGATATTATAAAGAATTTTAAAAGATAAAACAATATAAAACAAGATAAAATAAGATAAATTATGATGATAAGATAAGTAATGTCAACTGGGCAGTAGTAGGCATTGGTGTATATGATTTTGGTCAGCGGTTTATCCGTCGGTCTGAAATATGCTGAGACTAGTTGTTTATATGTTAGAATATACATTTGCCTAAGTTTGAACAGTGATGCCGCTATTATTTATTTACTGCTAAAATTATTATAGATAACAAATGCATCTAGATTATACAAAATGGGTTACTGACTTGGTAACAATGGCAATACGGTAGAAGCTATAGAATTGTCAAAAGTATCTAGTATTTTTTCTTATAATATACATATAGAATATTTCGATCTACGATCAGTCAGATTGTGAAAAGCAACCATAGCAATCGTGATTCGAGAAATAAACGAAGTACTGGTTTTGAAAAAGGAGTAATCGCATGCCATTACTCTCGGGAAATATCTTTCACCATGTTCAAAGCGAAAACCTTGGAAAAGTAACGAGTGCGCTTTCAGTGGAACGAAGTAACTCATTATGGCGTATACAGTTTATTATTTTTATTCCGGCGAACCTTCTCAATCTAGTGAAATTCAGTGGAACGGTTCTGGACGGTGCCTGTAAGATAAATGCAAAATTTTTTAACAATGTTAGATTAAAATTAAGGTATCAAATCTAAATATCAAATTCATTAATCGAATTACTCCGTAAATTTTTTATATTTACAGTCTCATGCAATGACGTTATCAAGAAGTATTTCTTGTAATATGAAACAGTAACCGTAGAATGATTGGTAGTGAAGGACACGTATAATAATTCAAGAGAGAGTAGCGGTCCATCTTCGTTTACTCCGATGCCGAGGTTTACTCTCTTGCGCTGGGTAGATCGTACTGCCAGTAGGTGAGATAAGGTGTTAAACAAAAGCGAGTAGGTTGGGACGGCAAGGGGTGATGCTGCGATTGCTTTCTGGCGCCTATCTCGTTTATACAGCTTTCTATGCACATCGCTGGCTAATAAAAAAAGGAGTCTCGGAAATAACAGATCGCGCTTCGGTAAGCAGAATCTTGTGTAATTACCCACGAGCGTCGTTGTACGTGCACTCGTATCACGTTCATCGACACCTCGTGAAGAATGTAGGTACTCAAAGCCCACCAACGAAAGGCGAGCGCGACACAAATTTGCAAGATCGATGACACCGAATTACTCGGCGTGCACATAAAATTGAAAACATATAGTACGTCCAATTAGTACTTACGTTTTGCTTCGTCGAGATACCCTTATCTCAATGTCTGGTTCACTCAATCTCAATATTATACGCGGATGACGTCGGCGCCGACACCGAGTATATATTGTTACCATTTATAATCGAATATTCGTCAGCATTCCCGGGCATCTTTGGTCATTCAGTATCGGTTTCGCGGATGTTAATTGCACCCACGCGACGTGTGTACCGCATCATCCCCGTGCACACAATAATTTACGCATAATTGGTACAATTTGGATAACTCGCAGCGTATCAAATTATACCACGTAAACACACGCGAGCCTGCGCGTGCATAGTCCGTAACTCGATAATTATGTATTCATACATATTAAACGGGCCGCGCGAGCCGACTCGACGATTTCGACGAAGTACTAAGAGATGTCTAGACAGGAATATGCATACGCGCCAACAACTCGGGCCGCTTGAAGATCGTTTACATTCTAATGTAAATATTGTATATGCACAATATATGCGCGTAAACCGAAAATCCGTGCCTCGGAATCCCGCGGGTGAGATTAGCTGTGCGCCGTGCGGGAGAGCCGAACAAATTTGTGATGGAAAGGCGGGACGAGGCGTGGAAGGTGCCGTTTTCACGATTAATTTTATTGTCCCGGTTCAAATGATATTTGATTTCTCGAATGGATCCGGAGGATCCAAGTGGACAAAGGGGAAGATGGCAACGACGGGAAGCTTAGGAGATACTTTCCCAGAGGGATGACTGATCCGCACAGTCATTTGGGTTTAGCAAACCCACGAACTCCAACTCAATACACTACGGACACTCGCATACACCTACACATCGTATACAAGTACGCACAACGCAATTCATATACGTACATACTCGTATACTGGCTGAAGCTTACTTTTTCTTCTATATCTGTCTCCCTTTCTTCCAAATAAGTTATAAGATTTTAGAAAATAGCGCCGAATTTTTTCATCTTCTTATAATGTCTGGAATGTCTTCATATTGGAAAGAAACAACTTATCTTTGATATGCTTCCTAACTTAATAAAATACTAAACGTATCATTTTATGAGAATCTTACGAAAGAATACTCAATAGCACTTAAAAAAAATATATATATGTATAATATACTTTGCGCGTCGATAGGAGAAATGCATAAAGTATTTCCTTTCTTTCAAAAATGAAGTAACAACGGTTATCTCACGCGAATAAACGATACGCTTTCGACGCTATTCTGAAAACAAGCGATTTTAGCCATGATGCCTTTAATCATCGAGAAGTATTTGCTGCGAACCACTTTCTGAATACGCCACTTACTATCCATTTTTACTCCATGTCTCGCGGCATTGCGCGTTGATAGCACTTCGGCGAGAAATGCGGAAATATCGCGGAACCGCCGAGAAAAGTGACGAGAATAAAAAAAACCCTGACTCGCTCTCTTTCTCCCTCTCATTCAGAAATCTCCCGCGAATCCTGTACAATCCACCAGAGTCGGTACGCTGCGACGGACTCTCGACAGCAACCGCTTTTGTGCCCTAGGGAATAGTGGGAACGGTAAGACGTCGTGAGAGACGAATCCGTACAACGATGTCGGCGTAATTGTGTAACTTCGTGGCTGCGACGTACGAAACAATAACTGCTGGCAAATCGCATCAAACAATACTACGGCAGATTGCATCTTCCGAGGTGCGACGCGCGTCTCTTCTTTTTTCGCGCTGATCTCCTTTGTCCTTGGTCCTCGCGTCAACTTTGCCGTGTCCTCTTAACAAATAACTGCACGCCTCTATCGTTTCACGAAATCGTGATTCTCAAAGGCTGCTGCCTTTGGTGAATCGCGACAGAAAGGAGCGCGAAAAAGGTGGCAGATAAAATGCGTTATCGGGCATAGAAACGATTACGCCTCTTGACGCGCGAGTTTCGCGTAGGAAAGAGAGCGAGGAAAAGGGCACCCGACGAGGAGTAAACGTTCTTTTTTATCGCTTTTTGATAATCTCCCGGGAATGCTGTCTTTGTGATGAAAAGAAGTCTTCCCGATAATGGAACGGAAAGAGGAAAGGAGGTAAACCGGTAAAAAAACTTCATATACATTTTCGCTTTCCTCAGTATTACATTTTATAAATATGATATCGGATTTTATTTACATTATATGTAATTTAAAATATAATTTTCTTATCTTATTTATTGAATTTTTATACTTTCGTATTTTACAATTTTTATACGAATTTGATGAAATAACTTTTTACGATATTTGACTAAGAATGTGTTAATTTTATTTCTACGTATGTCTGTATTGGGTCCCAATATATTTCAATATTATTAGTTTGTTTTTTTTGTAAAAGGAAAGGTAGAACACGAGGAAAAACATTAAGAAAACTAAAGTACGTAATATATTAGTGTCACTTTTACCGCAGCTATTTAATTTAATGTCATACTATCCTTGTTATTTTTTGTTATTTTAACATCTTGTTCGGACCTAAAGGCATTCTCGCTTGCTTGATTTAAAATAATATACTTTTAAGTTATCTATGATAAATGAAAATATAATGTGATCTTATAATTAGTCTATTAAAAATAAACAAATTTACACAAACTGTTTATTACGCTGACGTATAAAACTACAAATATTTAATACATACATAGAAATACGGGTGATATAGATAACAAGGGTAAATATATACAAAATAATATTTCAAATTTGTTATTTATAATTATTTACACTTATAAATGATATTATTTATAATTAATATAAATATACAATTTTTATTTATGAATGATCTGAATTTATTGTATGGAAAATGCAATTATTCAATTTATACAATTTATATATTATAACGTACTATTATATAAAGCACTAAATGTCTGCTAAATGTCTACAGATAGTGAACTGTGTCCTAGTAAATCATAACGAAACAAAATTGTTGTGGTGAAGAAATATTATTGGATTTTGTACATATTTGTGTAACGTAATTTTTAAATCCCATTTTAATCCCAGGAGAAGAGAAAGAGAACAATCTATTTTATGTATTATTTGTATTGAGTGAAACCAATGTATAATAGCCCTTTGTACACAAAACATATTCCATTTAAAAATTTATTACAATCCGCTATCTTTAATTATGCATTTACATCGCTTCCATTATAACTGTCCTATGCATTATTACACGAAAATCAGACAGGCAGAGACTTTCCACTACGACAATGTAATTATTTAGCAGGCATGAATTACGTTTCAACGAACAATTATTGATGACAGCGATATAAATTTAAAACTGCGCGATCCGATTGCGGCAATTATCGTAACGTTATTCATGTGGTGAACCATCGTTGATGAGTAATAATTTATTACAGATTTTCCCTATTTTTGTAAATATATATACATGAAATTTGTAGGCTATTTTGAATATAGGTGATTGGTAGAATTTTGATTTTCTTATCTAAAGTTTTACTTTAGTTCTCAATACATTAAAAAAGGAACTATGGGATGACAGTGTTACTTTTCGTTTTATGAAAATTGGCATTGACTTTTTTTATTCAGTGTCGTTTTGAATCATAATTTTTAATAAAATATTTAGGATACTATATGTATGGTATACACAATGTTTCAAAATATTAGTTTTTCAAAAATTTTATTTTTCAGAAACTTGGGCAAATTGTTTTACCAGAGAACTAAATTATATACTATTGCATATAATGTGTTTTACAATTTTTTTAAATCTAGAAACTGATATAATCAATAATAAGAGATCATACTGTAATAAGAATTATTTTCTGTGTTTCATATTAATCATTTCGCTTTAGAGAAAAATATTATACTAACTTTATATTCTTCAATAGCTTGCGTCACCATTTTTTTGTAAGTTTTATGCTCTATACATTTCTTAAATTTTAATTCTTCCGTTAATGTAGTAATGCTGTGTATCGAAAATTAATTAGTTTTTTTCTTAATATTTACTGAAATTTTCGTAGGTTTAAATATTATTTTTAACAATTTATAAATAATTGCTAGTGTGCAAAGCAACGTTACAAATATGGAAATGGATAAAATTGCTATAACGTCCATTTCGTATTTCTGGTACCAAGGATCATGACCGATATTGGTACGAAGATGAGAAGCACCTTTATGTCGTATGACGAATTCAATCCACCAAATTAGATGCTCCAAAAGATCATAAGGTTTATCTTCATTTAATGCTTTAATTTCGAGCATTCGTTTCTTATAGCTAGAGTAGAGTAATAATATACTATTTTATATTTAAAAAAGTGAAGTAGAAAGAAAGTAATATTTTATATGCAAGAAAATGCATTACTTTACAAATTTTGATCATAACTATATAAGAATTTGGTATGTGTATAAGATATTGTTGCGTAGACTTTTATAAAGATTATTTGTATGAGAATATTTAAAAGTGTAAAAAAATTATTACCTCTTATCGCTCAATATATCTGTCATGGTTGTGTTCAGATTTTCTTTTGATATATCCGCAAAATCTAAACGTTTTGCAACTCCTAAAGATACCATTTTGTTAACTTGGACATACTGATCGGCTAGTACTGGTAATCCTAAAAGTGGTACTGCATAATGAACAGCTTCTTCTGTGCTTTGAAGTCCACCTTGATATATGAACAATTTAATGTTTGGATGAGCTGTAAAACGAAAATTTAAATAAAATAACTAGTTTAGTAACACGTAAATATATTTAACACCAATATATTTTTATTAGTTACAATCATGGCACAATATATTTACCGAGAATGCTCTGTTGAGGAAACCATTTAGCGATATAGATATTGTCAGGTTTATTTGGCAATTCGCCGTCATGTTTCCATAGAACTTTGTATGGCAAACTTGCAAATACATCTCGAAATACGCTTTGTATATACTCCGGCAACGACGATGCTCTGATATTTGTGCCTAAACTCATATAGATAAATCCATTCGGTGCATCTGCTATAAGTTCTTTCAAGTTCTGAAATAAAATAATTACCGATTTATATGTTTGAGAAAAGAATTATACGTATGGGAATTGATATTAAATGTTTTAAGCAAATGACAAGTATAATTTCTTAAATAATACATTTTTAAGAATATTTAATTTGAATGCAATTATTACTTTTGGTAAATCCGCGGGTTTTCTTGAGATATGGAAATTGCCAAATGCTAAAACATTAGAGGTTGTCGGTCTAACAAACGAGAGAGCTTCTTGTTGATTGTGAAAAACAAGACTTATATTTCTTTCCATATCACTTATGTCTGGTATATTTTTTCCGAGATATTTTTCTGCTATCGCTTGCTGTTCAGGATAAAAGTGATTTAATACGTAATATATGTGATACCATTGACGAATAAAATTCTTTATTCTTTGCCACAATGACAGATTGAAACCGGTATCATCTTGCATTTCCCACGACGAAGGATGTGATGGCAGGACAGGTGCTCCGAGTAGATAATAATTATTATTAAGCAATCCAAATGTCGACACACCTGCGAACAAATATAGACGTACAATACAATAAGCTCTTTAAACGACATTTGAGTTTAGAAATTATATCACTATGAACATATACGCATGCATCAAGATACATAAGAAGTAATTAGTAACTAATAATTTTTACGTTTCGTTTGATTACATAATGTCGACGCAAGGAAATAATTATAATAAGAAACATCGACATTAAGTGAAATGAATAACGACTATATATTTTTTATTTATAAACATTTTATAGACATAAAATTTATTTAAGTAGAATATTAATACGGTGTCTATACATACAAGTACAAAGTTATAAAAAATGAAAACTTTAAAAGTTGAAATAACTTATGACTTCTCGATATTTTCGTTAATATGAAATTAATTTTAAGTAAAACATTCGTATAATAATTGCATACATATCATTATTCTTACCTATAAGAGGTGCATTAAATCTATGGGCCAATGCATAAAGGCTAGGTGATAGAAAAATTTCTGTAATTACTACATCAAATTTTTGATTACTATCCAAGTACATCTTACGTACTTCCGGATGCTTATAAATGTTTTCTGACATTTTTCCAGACAAAATCCATATCTGTGTGCGTGTTTGACTTAGCCACATTCGAGGCCCTTCTTGTAGCAATTGTTCGATGAAATTCATTTCTCTTATCATCTTGTAGTTAGAATGCAAGTTGATTTCTGTTAAATTGGTCAAACTAGGATCATTGATCGGGTCTGTCGTTAAAAGAACAATTTCGTGTCCTTTTCGGGTCAGAGCGGTCCATAATGGTCGATAAGGGATTTGGTGACTATAAGATGGTGTTGAAATAATTGCAAAGATCCTTGCAGTTTCTATTGGTGCGGCGATATACAAAAAGCTCGCTATCCAAAATGTCGTCTCGGTAATCGGCTTCATTTTACTGTCAATAATAAGCGGAGCCTATTGTTAGTATAAACTTAACTGTCATTGTTGACAGTTCAACATGATATTTAACTTTTATATATATATTTAATATATTTTATTATATATATATATTTATATATATATATAAGTGTCAGTGCAATCCAGTGCAGCAATAAACGACAAACCTCTAATTTTTGCGGAATGGATTATTTGTTATAAATCAAATATGCACTTTTAAGAATAATCCATTCCGCAAAAATTAGAGGTTTGTCGTTTATTGCTGCACTGGGTTGCACTGACACTTTCTTTCTTCAAAGAACTTGGCTGTCGCTAACTTGCAAACACATACATATTTCACTTTGAGTCCAAAAAGTGCACAGCAGTATTTGTTATAAAAAAATACTGATCTCATTGTTTCCGAAACTAGGCGAAATTATTAATTTAGTATGAAATTGTTTCCTACCTGTCTCGGGTAAGCACGTATCAATTAGTAAGTGTTCGTCATTTATACACTTATTGTTAGTGACTTGGAACTGCGCGCAAAAATATATTCGTGATATCTTATTGTAACAATATTATCGGAATGAGGCTTCAAGTAGGACGTGCGCTTAAAAAATGTTATAAAGTTTGCATTTACATTTATAATATATACTTAAAATTTAAATATATTAGTAATGCTAATACATGAAGTAAGTAAAAAAAAATGTTTTATGTATACGTTATGTATAACGATATTTACATATGTATAACGTTATTTACATTATACTTATGTAAATCTTTCTATGGTTAGGTTAGTTTACTTAATAGCCTCAGTGAAATTATTATATTTACGATACGATATATATGTATACATATACTGTTCAGATTCGACGCATTTGCGTTTAAGTAAATCTTCATGTGATATTCAATTCTACATTTTGGCAATCGACAAGAACATTTTCTTTTCTACGGTCTACGTAATTTTGAGTCACGGTCAAAGTGTTTGGGTGAAAAGTGAAATTTGTATGAAACCGACAGTATACATTGCGCGTACATATTCGACGGACCATGGCAGATTGCAAAAACTCGCGGAATAGATAGACCGAAGCTGTAGAGGTTCGTTTCTTTCGTTCCTCGTCCTCTTCATTTCTCACACCGCCTATTTCTCTATCTGACCGCCGCGGACCAGGTCCTGTTTTTCTTTCTACCGCAAGAAAGTGAAATCTGACTGTTGCTTATCGCCGTAATGCGTGTTACGATTCGTCAAGAGTATTCGTTACGTCCGTTTTTCGGTCAACACATTTAAGTGCTTTACCGGGGATCGGACTAGATTGCGTGAAAACTAATATAAAACTAACAATAGTGAAGCTAATAGACTTTATTCCTGCCCTGAAAGATAACGCATTTTGTAAACTACGCGGCGATAGTCTGACTTCGGAATGTTCTTGTAAATTGGGTAGGAGGGGACTTGTGGTGGTTATTCTTTGAGAAAGAGATAGGATTCTGTTCGCTACGCTCCTCGGCAGCGACCAGAAAAGGATAGGATCGCGAGGGGAGTCGTATTAATATATGGAAGATTTCTTACAATATTTTATCTTTTATTCGTATCTTCCAAGTTACAAGATGGTCGTCAATTTCTAAGTGTTTAACCCGAAAGTACTATCGTCTGAATGTCGAAGAAAAGAACTCAATTGTTGGATCAAAAGAAAAATTAACTCTCTTTTCTGTATATATGTGAGTGAGTGAGTGAGTACGTGAGTAGAAATAAGTAAAGGCGAGTAGAAATAAGTGCCGCCTACTGCGTTTAGTGCTCCTATCTCCTGCTGAAGTCTCCCACCTTTTAGGACTTATCTTACAATTAGTATATCTATTAGTAGCGTTACAAGTTTAAGTTTTTGCAACATTCATAAATTGCTCACTACGAAGGTCAGACTTATCAAGTTCGTAAAAGATGTCGACATACTATAATTGTTACCGGTTTTAAGAGATACAAAGTTCTATTTTATATTAACATAGTTGTGAACGTTTAACCTAATTCAACTTATAGTAGTTTGGCTTGACAAACTATTTCACTGTTAGAAACAAATTTATTAAATGAGATTATGATACAGTAGTGACACATTGAGAGCTACGACAATTTGAAACTATAATAGTAAAGTACGTACAACAATGCTATTGCATACAATTCTGTTTTATAATAAATAACATTCAATGATAATAGTATTACTTTATGTTATATTCTTGTAATCTCACAATCTCTCAAATTTAAATATTTGTTGGGACAATGATTTGCTGAGATTAGAAGTTCATCAATAGAAAGTTGCTTAGTCTCAATGACATGTTTAAACCAGTTCATCGAGTGTTTTGGGGTTCTTGTCCGATTGGGGTCCGTGAAGTTAACGCTTACCAAACCGAACCCTACACTGTCAGAAGAGAAAAGAGAAAACAATTTTCATAAAAAACTTTATAAATATGTTCGTAATTACATATTAAATAACAACTCACGTATAACCACTGTTCCATTCAAAACTGTCTAGCAGACTCCACACAGCGTACCCTTTCACTTTACATCCATATTCTTGAATGGCACTTAACATTTCCTTCATATAAGAATGTAAGTAGGTTATTCTTAAAGAATCAAAAATACCACCTCTATCGCCAAAACCATTCTCTGTAATAAAGGATAGATGGGTAGTCATACTCATTTGAGATCTTCTTAAGAAGCTCTCGAAATCCAATGGGAACAACCTAAAATATTTACAACTTTCTGTATATGCCTAAATACAAATAATACTTTATTAGTGCTAATACTTCACTCCTAGATAGAAAAATTATGATTGTTTATGTAAAGATTATATTTAAGAAAAATGATATCGGCAACAAATTTAATTCACAGTGGAACACTATATTCCTTACTTCGTAACATTTAGTAATAGTTAATTACTAAATTTTTTATAATCCATCATACTTTCACCAGTTATGTTTGATTCAGCCGTATTACGGAAATATGCATATTTTCTGAAATATACTCGAACCTGATTTCCAATTTATAACGTGGAGATAACAAACTATGAATACTTCACATAGTCAACTAAATTTAATTAACAAATTTCTAGTAAGTTTTACACAAACAGTAGTTGCGAACACGCGAAAATTGACAATCTGATACACTCAATTAATATACATCTTATATGCCAACTAACTCTGAACCCATCTATCGTGCTTTTGGGCCATGATGGATCTACACTTGCATTCACGCCAGAATAATCGTACCACGCGTGTCCTGGTACTCGTGGAACTGTTTCCACAAGTCTCGAAGTGTAATGATTTAAGCCGAAGAAGTCCGATGTACCTCTTAAAAAATGAAAGAGCTAATAAGAAACCAAAGATAATATAAGTCCATAATTAATTAGCACCAATTAATTTGTGACAACTACTGCGTATAATTGCTACAAATTTCTTACTTAATATACTGCACCCATTCTGGCGAAAATTCTGGCAGAATAGATCTCGAAAAACCATCCAATTTACTATTTTCAGCTATGCGGGTTTTCATGACTGCTGGGTAATCACCAGTTGTTGAGAAAATAGGATGAGCCATCCATCCGCAGTAAAATTGGAAGAATGTGTCTACTGCTGCAGTATCGGCAAGATTTTTGGGCAATGCGCCGAAGCAATGTGAAACTATACCGATTTGGCCTTTCTGTTGTTCTCGAAATTCTGTGTCGTAGATGTGATAAATCTTGGCATGTGCCTTCAGAATATTATGTCCACACAGATATTTACCAGGAGATCCTAATTTCTTTCCAAAAATAATATTCTGTTTTAAAAATTATCCAACTTTGTTAAAAAATATTAAACGTTTATCGGTAAATAATGAACAAACATAAAGAATACCTGGTGATTTTACACCTTCAAAATATCCTTCAATGCAAAGCACATTGGGTTCATTGATAGTCATAAAATATTTAATATTGGCCCCGAGTTCTTTGAAAACGACTCTTGCATAATCGGAAATCCATTCTACCATCATTTCATTCATCCATCCACCCATGCGTTCAAAGACATCTGGATGATCCCAATGATACAAAGTAACAAATGGTTCGATGCCATTATCTAGTAATTCCTTGATAAGATTTTTATAATAATCAAGTCCCTCTTGATTAACCACGTTAGCGTAACCAGTTGGTAAAATACGTGACCAACTGAGAGAAAACCGGTAAAAGTCAACCTACATTTATAAAGACATTATAGTTTGACTTTCTATATTTCGCATCGTTAAAAAATTTTTTATACGATATTTGTACAGAACGTACCCCCATGCTCTTTAATAATTGCACATCTTTTTTATATTTATGGTAGGAATCACAAGCCACATCGCCATTGCTACCATCAAGCATTAAATTTGGATTTTCATGTGTCCATCGGTCCCAAATATTCTCACCCTTACCTTTTTCAAATTAAGTACACCATAATATAAATTAATTATAAAAATAACGAAAATGACTATATGTATAATATTCTATAAGTCTTGTCTCTATACAAAAGATGCTAGGATCTCTTAACCCGTCAATAATTAAATGACATATCGAGCACAAATAGAGATTCTCTACGTACCGCCTTCATTCCAACCTCCTTCTATTTGATAAGAGGACGAAGCTGTGCCAAGTAGAAAATTTTTGGGAAAAGGTAATGTGTCGTGAGCAAAGCCATGAGTGACAACAAAAATAAAGCTAAAAGCAACTCCGAATAATGCATAGCTTGCCATTCCGAAGACGACTGAGCATCAGTATCTTGGCAATTGAGTATTATCAGCCATTCATACAGACCCTCCATATATTCTTTTAACGATAGCAACTAATTTCTTAATGTTTCCCTCCTCTTACACATCGCGTACTGTCTCATTTATACAGTCAAATGTTTACATGATAGAATTTGCAATTAACACACCTCTCTCACCTCTCTCCTTCACTGAATGTTCCGTGAAAGATTAATGCGAATTTTATTATTACGACTCTTATATGTACGACACTCTAACTCAGAAAAGACCACTTCACCATAACGTTTCCATCGTTATTATTGAACTTATCCTCGCTTGTCAGAATTACGAAGCCTCTATAATGTCGCAGGGTTACGGAGGTAACTTTCCAAGTACTTATGTATTTGATAGAGGCATCCATCGTCATTAGAAACAAACTGTTCGTTTGTCATGAATCATAGATGCCAAAGAATCGTAATATTTAATCAAAGATTAAACGCAACAATTGATTACAAAAGGAAAAAGTGCGATCATTATTGGCATGGATATAAAAAGGGGAAAAATATTTTCATTTATCAATTAATCAAAGGTCAAATTTACAAATTAATCTAACTAAAACAAAACAAGTAAAACTCATCGCGTTTTTCGCTCTTTTAATTGTATTATTGATTCTTACTTGAATACGAAAACAGTGAAATAGTCAAGTAAAACTACTGCACTTATTTAACGCAACATGTGCAAGTTTGCGCAACATTCACAAATTGCTTACTATGAAGGTCAGACTTAATAAGTCCGATAAAAGATAGACAGTCGATAGACCGTAATGATAAACTATAATGGTTACACGTTTTTAAGATATACA